CCTCGTAGACTCCCTTCGAAATTTACTCGTGTTTGTTTCATTAACTTTATTGCCATACAATTTTGTCTAATTTAAAACGTTGTTGCTACATTTTTTCTTTCTTTTTGCTTCGGTTATCGATATGATTGCTTTATTTATTGTTTTCTCTCTTTCTTTTTATTCTATGTCTAGTGTTGGAATAATTGTGATCAACAATTGGGACCGTTTCCGTTGAATATTAATTCGGCTTTGCGTCAGGGTTCGCTAGTGATAACAGATATTGCTTGGGATCAAGCCATAACAAATGCGTCGAAGCAATGCTTGGTCACATGGGAGGTCTCCGGAGGCGGTCTAATGGGCAATCTATTGACTGATAGCTCTACTGTTGAATTATCCCTCTGGTCGGATACAATATATCACGTACAAGTTACGTGCAAACATAAGGTAAGTAAGCCAACCAGCCAGTCAGCCAGCCAACCAGCCAGCCAACCAACCAACCAAACAGTCAGCCAATAAGCACATAAGCTATACAATCTCAAACATAGTATTGAGCACAAGCTAATCTAAGCGGAATTATATGATGATCTTGGCGGCTTCATTAGTCTGTTTGCCAGAGCAACATCTTCTTTTATGAGCTACATAATACAAATAAACATACTAACACACACAAACACAAATGCACGAAGTAGACGTAAATGGACAGAGTCAAGCACATCTACAACTATCAAAAGTTGTAAAATATTACAAGAATACAATTTTATGATCGCGTTTTTGTTTGCATTGTTGCTAAACTTTCTTCCTTTTTTTGCGTGCAATGCAGCTTAAGAGACCACCAATTCTTATTTAGTCTCCTTTTTTTTTTTCTAATATGTTCGTGCGTGTTTACTGTGTCAGAGATACTTGTAGGTTTCTCTATAATTGTTACTGGTGTGCGAGAACCTAGCGTGAAAGCTATAGTAATTGGCTAATTACATCAATGTTCTTCCCTCTACCTGTTGACAATTTTTACAATATTTCACCAAAATCCCAAACAGCATGCAATGCCAATAGCAACGGCCAAAGCAAGAGTAACAGGCTTGGTAACAATTGCAGCAATGATCAATGGAGTATAAGCTGAAGCCGGAAACTTTTTCTTTTCTACCCACATTCAGGGTTGCATGTTGACATGCAATCTGTTATTGTAACAAAAACAACAATAAAAAAAACATGAAAAAAAAAATAAACTTATTGTCTTTCCGCTTATCAAAATTGGTTTTCATCACTTTAAATTCTTGGGGAAACGAAACATTCATTATAAGAATATGATATAATAGCAACACAAGTGGTTTGTTGCGTGCACATGATTAGTGGTGGAGACTGCGTTCTTGACGTCGGCATGCAGCAATTTTCGTAATGATTTACATTTATAATGATAATGATGATGATGGTGATGATGGTGATGATGACAATGACAATGAGGTTAAAGATGAGGATGAGGATAACGAAGAGGAAAATGATGACGATGTTGGTGTTCGTGTACAGCGGCTAATATGCCTCTTACTTCTTGTTAACATTTTGTGTACTAATTGATGTGCGTACAAAATCAGTACCTTTGTCTCTACCACATCATTATAATCACCATTGTGCTCGCATACACACACACACACACATACACACACACACACACACAAATCTATATATATATTAGTAACGTATATTTAAAAATTTGGGAGTGGATGCATTTATACTGTTGAAGTAATACCGAGATCTGTAGGTAAAAGGTTTATCTTACGACTTTTTATGAATTATTCTTATTGCAGGACACCGGAGGCATGCGCCGCTCTTATAAACTGATTGTTGATACTCATAAATTGGGCGACAGTACAGCTACCGGTATGCAGGCTATTGCTTTGGAGACACCGTTTAGCAAAAGTCTACCCCATATTTACGGTAACGATGCTTTGCCAGCTTCAATGGGTGAAAACGACTCGAGAATGCGCATTCTGAAGGATAGTTCCAAAGATTTTCTAACACCTTACAATCCAAATGCCATTATCGATACAAAGCCATCATTAGCAACTCCCACGACATCGGCCACTACAGCTACCGCTACCACTACTACAACTACAACTACTACTATTGCTGGTGCTACTACTAGTACTACTTCTGCCATCATCACCATAAGTACAAAAGATGAGTTAAAGAATTCATATTCAGCTGAATACGAAGTGGAATCTGGTGATACGGTAATAAGCACTAAACTTATCGGCGTTTCTAATTTGGTACAAACGTCTAGCGATTTCTTGAGCCAATCCATAGTACTTGCTGTGGTTGGCTCAATAGTTCTATTTTGTGGTATTATCGCTCTTTATCTGCTTATGCCTCCCATACATAAACAAGTACCTGTTACAATTTGTTCCATTGATCATGAAGTTCTAATACATAATGAAATTATGCCCTCTCAATCACCATTAAATCCTACGGTCTCACTATGTGAACAAGAAGGATCATTACAAACACCAAAAACTACTGAACACAAGAATCGTTCAACACTGCATGTGTAAATTGTATGTGCGACTACAAAATTCTCTGTAAATAACCGTTTAAAAGTAAAAGTTGAAGTAATGAAAAGAAACCTCATTAACTATAAAAGTGCGTTTGTGATGACTGTGTACATATAAAATAACAAATGGGTGGGTGGATGGATTGATGGATTAAGGAAAGGCATTAACTTGCACATGAAGAGTCCTTCATATAGATTAGAGCTTATGTAAATATTAAAGTATTTGTCACTGTTCCCTCCAGCATGGCAAAGTGTGAATGTATAGCGATATTGTGTTTAGGATTAAAAAGGGAGCAAAAAAAATAAAAACTGAATAAATAACGATTTGATCCATCATTTATAAACAAAAAACAATAAGAAAAATGGTCTAACAACGAAAGCTCTTTATGTATATTTTTCTAGTATATATATATATACATAATATATATATATATATATATATATATATATATATATATATATATAAACTTTTGTTACAATTGTGGTAATTTAAATTTTTTTTTTTTTATTTCAAATATAGATGTAAGTATAATATAAATATATGAACAAAAGCATATGTATCAACTCGAAATGACAATTTGTTTCTGAGGCCTAATATTCCCCTATAATAAATTAGTTTTTAGGTAGAAATTATGACGAAAGGAGAAACGACTAAAGGTGTTACATATTTGAAGGCTTTTTTGAAATTGTAATGACACGCAAACGTATTAAAGAATCCGAGATATTTTACAGGATAGTAGCGTTCAAAGATGTTCTTATTACCTCATGACCTCTCACTCTGGCAATTTAATTACAAATACAGTACTTTCTATTTAATAGTGTCAAGTCAAGAGTGATTGATTCTGCACACACATATAAACATAGTACCAATTTTTTTTCAAACTACTTTCGAAAAATTTTCGTACACATTTTCTTGTTTATTTTTTTTTTTTTTTCCTTTTTTTTAATAATTGAGCACCAAAACATAAACTAATATCAGATGCTTAGTAATATGAGAAATATGTATAAAAGTTAACTCTATTAAGTGGAAATTACAATTATTCGAAAGTAGTGTCCTTAAATGCATAAACGACGTTGCATAAGGCGATTATCATCTTTGAACTTTTATTTCATTTTGTAATTAACTGGAATTTATGATTTCTAGTCGCAAATATTTTGAATGTCGTAGTATTAGATTTAAAATGTAAATAAACACCAAACTTGTAGTTAAGCTAAACGATTTACAGCGTTTCGCATCGTTCAAATTGTAAACTCTCCTCAACAAAGAGAAAGAGAGAGAGAAAGACATGCTTAAACCAGTGTATTTCTTTCAAATATTGAGTAAAACTTTTAAGTCTATTTTATTTTGAAATTGTATGTTTTTTGTTTTATGTAAATATACAAGAAAATAAATCATAAAGAACTTAATGAAAAAAAATCAAAAATCTCTTCCAGTCAAACGAAAGCATTACGCAAAAATGAAAAAAAAAAAAAAAAAAAAACGGTTAAAGCGAAAAACAAATGTATATAATGATCAGGCATGGAACAAGAACGAACGAATAAAATGTACATAATAGAGCGAATAAGAAGGCTATGATATATTCTATTTTCGCCCCGCAGGCGGACCTTTCGGTACTCACCACCTAAGGTAAGAATCAAAAAAAAGAAGGTACCGACGCTGAAAGTTATTCGGCCTGGTTTAGTATATATAAATATATAAATATTAAGAATATGTCGATTTGTTGGCCGATACTAATCGATGATACGTTTGCAGAGAGCATTACTCTGGTATCGATATAGTACCTGCAAATTTTCTATATTTTTCGCTCTATTACGTAAAATGGCTGTTTTAAGTTGTTTATAATCTTGAATTAAATAGTCACTGTATTTGGACTATTTCCATTACTTGTGTTAGAAGGTACATTAAGTTTGCGCAGACGTATGTAACATCCACAAGCATTTAAGGGAGTTAAGAAGCGTATCTGTCCGCCTGCAGTCTGCCCGTGCACCCTTTCGCTCAACGTAGAGGTCGCAATTTGTAAAATATCGCGATGATTTCTGACGTGTTTTGAACCAAGAATGAACGCTATTAAAAATAGTTTGGATCGTACCGCTTCTTCGACCAGCCCTAGGAAACTTCTTACTTTAAAACTTCATTATATAAAAAAAAAATTGCAAATTTTTAAAATTTTCCGATAAGTATCGCTTAGTAGTAGTATTCCGTCATTCTAAATTGCTGTAAAAAATTTAGATCGGACCCTATTTCATATAAGGGCGCTCATGAATAATTAGCCTTTTACCAAAACGATTTAATTTTTAATATTTTGTAATGAAAATTGCTCAATAGCAGCAATGTATTATAAAAATCAACTGTAGGACATTTGGATCACATTTATCTATTTTTGACCAAGTCTAATTTGTAGTTTTCGTAAGACGAAAGATCAACTGAAGAAATAACAAAATGCTTCACAAATCCTTGGATCACATCGAGTTACATTTTGGGCATATTCTAATATCACGGCTTTTATAAAAATAATGTATAATTTTTGTTGTATTATCACGAAAGTGAATGAATGCTTGGTTTAGGCAAAAAGCTGAAGGGTGTAAGGTTGTCGCCTTGCCCGACTTTTATGCTCTCTTACTGCTATAGATTTTAAAATTCAATTGATGTTTTAAGTGATTGCAAACAATTGATTGGCTGCATTGACATGAAGTCTATTGTCGATCAAGAGTACCTATGCAATGTCGTGTACGGTATGACACTATTGTAAATGAAATTTCGTAGTTATTTCCTTTCTTTCGAATGCAGTTGAATAATGGAAATCAATGGATAACTAGTCCAAGGAACTATTCTATTTAGTTTTGGTTATATATATAGAGAATAATATTTCTCTTGAACATGAAATAGCTCTTGATCCGTATGTATCCCCATTATTTCATCTCATATATACAATTCTTTCCTTCATTTACTTAGATAAATTAGGATTTATTATGTCATTGTAATTAAAATTAATCCATTTATTTTAAATCCAAAACTTTTTTGTATATGATACCATTAAACGATATCTTTAAGATTAGCTTTTAAAGCAAACTTTGCAGTTAAATGGAAGAATATTAAATGCACTTTTCGCTTAAGTGCACTATAAGAAAGCGACTAAATAGAAACTATTGTGTAAGGTAATGTTAATGGAACTTTGAATTTGAGCGAAAAAATTGTCAGCGCTGAGATTCGATGATCAAAGGGAGGATAATCCACACGGACTTGGTGATGGGTACGAAAAAAAATTAAATTTAAGCATCAACTTAAGACTTACGAGCTTAGATTTTGTTTTGTTTTTATTTGATTTTTTTTTTTCTAATTTAATGTAAATATAACTATTCAATATGTAAAAAGGTATAAAGCAACTTTCGTAAGTAAAATTAAAGATAGAGAAAAAAGCGAAATAAATAAATAAAAGGTATTTTAATCACACATTTTTTCAAATGTCTGCGTGTGTTTCAACAAAATCAAGCAATCAATATTTTAATTAAACTAAAAAGAAAACAAGTATAACACAGAAAATTGATAGTAGAAAGAGTTGAAGGAAAACCTAAGGAATTTCACATATATTAGGCTCTTTAACACACAACGAATTTTTGTTTAATTTTTTTAGTTTTTAGATTAGTTGTCTATGTATATTTTTACATGTTTTTTTATTTTTTTTTTTGTGTATAAATTACATTTTTTTTATTTAAGAAAGAAGGTGAGGCACACGTTTCAAGGCTGATAATATAATTTTTTGAGAGTAAATTTCCATAAAAACACAAAAATAGATCGATAAAAAATAAAATTATTACCTACCTGTGCATATATATGTATGTTACTTTGTAAACAAAAAAATAATAAAACAATTTAATTAAATTATAATTATTTTTTAATTATTTTTGTTCTTTTTTGGTCTTTCAAATATATTTTTCTATTCTTTTGTTTAATAGTTCAATTTTTCAAGAGATTTACTCTAAGAAAAAAAAATTCAAAATTATATTAAATATACAAACTTACATATGCTCTCTGCTCTGTACATATATATAAAATGAAACAAACAGTTTAATAATTAACTTTTCAGCCGAAAATAACTGAATAAAAAATTAAAAAAAAAAAGAACAACAAAAACTGTAATTTATAATTATATGATAACTAAAATTTAACAAACAAACAAAAACTAAAAAAAGGAGAAACGAAAAAACAAAATCAAACACAATCATCAAAAAACTAAATTAAAATAATAAAAGAATCGAATTGATTATAATAAAAAAATAAAAAAAGAAATCCATTAATAATTGTTTTCATTTTATCGTTAGTTATTATCTTTCTGCCATGTTTGCCAAATGGATTCAGAGAAATGATTATAAATTTTCCACTAATTTAACATGCCATTGTCCAGAGGTCCCTTAACTTTTTCATACAAGCGGAGACAAGATATTCATGAACGAGTCAGCCTTCAAAAAACGAAAACTCTATCCAATATGATAATTTTCAGAACAACAGCCTTTACTTGAAAATTCGCATTCTAAATAATTCAATTGTATAACTATAAATATATAAGAATTATATTCCTTCACAATTTAAATTTTTTAAAATGGTAGTAATCGTTCTTAATTGCAAACGATGGTGGACTGCGGATTTTAAATAATCTTAATATATAATCGTTTAGATTGGCATGGAAATTCTGAAAATAGAGCGTTATAGAGGGAGTGGTCGAAAAAGTTGACAGACCCGAACAAGTTTTAATAGCGTCTGTTGGTCTATATACCAAATTCCATCAAAATATTTCGAAAATTTCAACCGGCAGCTTGAGCACAAATATACATGGACATCACGCGGACAGACAGACAGTCGGCGGGCAGTCGGACAGGTAGACTAAGGCGGATTTAGAATATGATTCTGAATTGATCGGTATAATAAAAGGTGGGTCTACCTTAAGCCCATCTGAGTGTTACATACGTTCGCACTAACTGAATATACCGCGCACCACGAGTGGCGTAAGGTATAAAATGTGGAAAGTTACAAAACTTTTATAACTTACCCATTACCATAAATATATAGTGTAGGGGATAGAATATTATACCTGATTGTCGACGATTTGCATACGTTCAGTAATAATGGATAAAGCTGTGGCTTAATCAATGAGATATGTGACATATTTGTAGTCCACTTTTTAGGCGCATTTATTGAATGTATGTCGCCTACTTTTTTTCGGGTATGTCATATAAAACATACATGAAAATGCATGAAAATGCATCAAAATTAATTACCGATCGTTGTATCTGCAACAATACGCTCCGTAAACTTTTATTCTTTAGTAAAAGAAATAAAAAAAACTCGGTCCCGTTTTTGTTCGGT